TCTGCAGTGAGGATGAAAAGGGGTGCCATTGAGGTGGAGAAAGCTTATGCACGCTGAAGTCCTGCCACATGTTCTTGATGTGCTCTTTGGGCGAGATTTGAAGGCCTTTCTCGGTGTTGCCATTGCCATTGTCAGCATTGCACTCTTCAGACAGGTCAGAAAGATCTGAAGTCCGCCGCAGCTCCAGAGCAGACCGGGCTTTTTTCAGATTGCTGGTTATCACTGGACTCCTTCCTTGTGGGGAACTATTTAACAAAAAATAACGATCTTTTCATTTCCATTTAAATTTAAGGAATGTTCTGCACTATACACTTGTTCACATGTTTGGGGTCAGTAGTATTTTTATTTAAAAAAATTAATACTTTTATTCTGCAAGGATGTATTACATTGATCAAAAGTGACAGTAAAGATATTTATAATGTTACAAATATTTCTATTTTAAACAAATGCTGTTCTTTTTGAACATTCTATTCAAAGAATCCTGAAAGAAATGTATCACAGTTTCCACAAAAAAATATGAAGTAGCACAACACTGATGATAATGATCAGAAATGTTTCTTGAGCAGCAAATCATCATATTAGAATGATTTCTGAAGGATCACATGATACCAAAAAAACTGTAGTAATGATGCTGAAAATTCAGCTTTGCCATCAAAGGAATAAATTGCATTTTGAAAGAAAACAGTTATTTTGAATTGTAATAATATTTCACAATATTACTGTTTTTACTGTACTGTTTTGATAAGAGAATAATAAGAGACATATTTCTCAAACTTTTGAACAGTAGTGCATACCTAGAAAGAAAAAAAAAATTTTGTGTTTTGAAAAAGCAATAATTTTATGTATAAACTCACAGATTGGTCCGATCACTGTTGTCCGCCGCGCTCACCCCCTTGAGGTCCAGTTTCTTGCGATACATGAGTTCGAGTTCGGCCATCGTTTGGAGATGAGCCTTCTTCAGCTGCTCTAGCTTACGGTAGTACTCTTGGTTTGAGAAGTAGAACTCCCTGAGATCGATGTGATCGCCCGTCACGCGGTAGTCTTTGATCAGCAGTGCATTGCTGTCTTTAGCAGGAGGGTCATCAGTCACCAGCTCAGATCCAGAGTCGTACTCAATCTATGAAGATACACACAATGAAAACAATGATACTTTCACTGTAATCCATATCATAGGTTAAAATACTTAATCAGTACAATTCTTTAAGATTCTGATGCTTTGATTGACCAAAAAAAACAGTGTTTATGTGGTTAAATCAAGGACTGTTGGTTAAAAGCCCAGTGTTTTGATATGTCACACTCTTTTTTGTGAAATTTCTGTCTGGAAAAGAGTTTTGTGCGGTCAGTAGTTGTGTGTGTAACACAAGATGAGTCTCTCTGTGTGTAAGCTGTTAATCTGCAGGTCTGTCAGCTTTAAGGCCAGATGGCAGATTGTGTTCTTCATTCATACCAGAGATTGTCTCAGGTTTCTTCAGTTTCACCGTACTCAACATGAAACCAACACTATATTACACACGTTTATGCAGGCAAATAAGGATACGTATTGCACGTTTTGCAAATTTATGAAAAAACTTTTTAGGGTAATTCAGCTATAGCATACCTAAGTAACTGAAAAACATAACCACAACCACAGAAGCCTATTGATTTACTTCAAGATTAGGATATAGCATGCTTATTGAACTTTTCATCATGTCAGGCCTCTTCTTCATCATTAGTGAGCTGTTTAACCACCTCTAGTGTATTACACAACTATTGTTTTCAATATTGTATTTTTTAAATCATGTTTAAGCCCAAACAACGTACATTGTCAGAAAGATATTGACTGAAAACCTCTTAATTGGGGCTTTTTTTTTCTTTGTAATACGCCTGAAGTATCTCCATATGGTATGCAAGAGTGCAAAACTATTAGTAATCGTACAAATGACTTTCTCTTGATAGTTTAATCGATAGAAAAAGCAGTTTATTAGCTTTTTGTCACCTCTTTCTCATGGTGCATGTTGTCCGTGAGCGCGGGCAGCGATCGCTCCCTCTCATACTGAGCTAACGGGACTTTAGTGTGCGGATCCACCGGCGTCTTCAGACAGGACATCACCAGGACATTAGTGTGGTGAGACTTCTTCATATCCGTCTCTCCCTCCAGACTGCTTAGATTCGACTGACTGACCGCTTTTTGACTGTAACAGGTGCGCGTCTCCTTGACGACCGCGTAGCTTCGGGAAGCCGCAGTGACGCTCAGCCGCGGGAGCGCGCACGTATAAACCCGCCACCAACGGTTTATTTCTGAAGGGTATGTTGGAGTTTTGAGTTTATTTACATAAAAAGAAGACGGTATTTTTCATGAGTACTGTGCTAATTGATGTCCAAACTAATTACATTAAAAAAAAAAATAATCTAGCTAGTTTTAAACACTTAAAATATCCGATGGCCACACCACAATATATGGACCACAAAACCAGTCATAAATGTAAAATTTTCGATATTGAGATTTATAACGTTACATCATCTGAAAACGGAATAAATAAGCTTTCCATTCATGTATGGTTTGTTAGGATAGGACAACATTTGGCTGAGATACAAGTAAAGTTATTTGAAAATCTGGACTCTTGAGTGCAAAAAAAAAAAACAAAGTCAAAATATTGAGAACATCACCGTTAAAGTTGTCCAAATTAAGTCCTTGGCAATGCATATTATTAATCAATAATTACGTTTTGATATATGTACGGTAGGAAATTTACGAAATATCTTGATGGAACATGATCTTTACTTAGGCCTAATATCCTAATGATTTTTGGCATAAATGAAAATTCGATATTTTTATGACTGGTTTTGTGGTCCAGGGTCACATATGTTAATTCAGGCCTGTTCTACCTCAAAGGTCTTGACTTGACAACTCTATCTGTATTCAACAAAATCAGCAGATAATGTCAATTCTGACCATAGTAATAAATTAATTAATTAATAATAAAGTAACAAATAAAAAATGTTCAATAACCAAAACATAATTAGATATGCCCTGAAACATTTGCATGGCATTTTGTTTCCCATGATTTCCCCTCCATTATTATTATTATTATTAATTATATGTCTATTTAAATTTGAAGCCAATAAATCAGATGGTACTTTCCAAGACTAGTGTACAAACTGATTTCCAATTACAGTACAATAAATACATGTTTAACCCTTGTGCGACCTTTTTGGACATTTTGTCCTTTTCGTTTTTTTTTTTTTGATCATTTTGCCTGTGTTATTGCCAGCTGCATAAATTTAGGCACAGGTGTGTATTTTTATTGGAATTTTACTATTTCACTTTCATTTGCTTTAATAAATCAAATGAGTTTTGCACTAGGTACACAAAATTGTTCCTCTCAGGACCTTAAGGACAAAAATGTCCCCATTGAAACTCATTAAAACGGCTATTTTTAATCACAGTGCCATTTAACTGTAAAATGATGCAATTTTTGTTAATAGGCTTGCATTCTGTTGGCAAGGCTTCAAAATTTTATTTTTAAAAAATGTTTACCAGATGGTGCCATTTTTTTCAGGTTTGGCCTATAAAGCAATACTCTCTTTATTCCTGTTTTCTGCTTCTGCATATTAGGCTATAGAGCCAACTGGATAAAGCTATTTTTAATCACAGTGCCATTTAACTGTAAAATGATGCAATTTTTGTTAATAGGCTTTCATTCTGTTGGCAAGGCTTCAAAATTTTATTTTTAAAAAATTTTTACCAGATGGTGCCATTTTTTTCAGGTTTGGCCTATAAAGCAATACTCTCTTTATTCCTGTTTTCTGCTTCTGCATATTAGGCTATAGAGCCAACTGGATAAATAATGCAGCTATAATTGTGTGGGTGTGCTGGTATGGATGTCAGAGATTGGTTTGTATGCGTCATAAAAAAAAAATGTGTGTGTTCTTGTAATATTTGAGAGAAAAACTCTACTGCAAATCACAAATCCTACCACTGTGTGCACCAGCAGAGTTTATATTTTATATAAAATATCGTTCATAAATCATTTTCATAAGCTTAAACCTCTATAACTTTTTATAGACAATAATCTGCCATGGGTCTTCTTTAAAATGAGACCAAATTTAACTCTGTGCTCCCAAGCTTCAAAGTTTTATGAGTTTTTTGACACAGACATTTTTGTCCACTATGGACCAATGTGTAACTTTTTTTTAATTGATGCAAAAGGGTTTTTAAAAAAGAATCTAGCTGGTTTCAAATGCATATCACACCCAAATATGACACCCAAATATGATAATTTTCAAATTTAACTCTGTGCTCCCAAGCTTCAAAGTTTTATGAGTTTTTTGACACGGACATTTTTGTCCACTATGGACCAATGTGTAACTTTTTTTTAATTGACGCAAAAGGGTTTTAAAAAAAGAATCTAGCTGGTTTCAAATGCATATCACACCCAAATATGATAATTTTGGTAAGTTCCACTTCCAATTATCTTAAATATCTGTATGCAACAAAATCATAAGATAGAACTGAATTGGATCATCTTGGTTGTGGAAAATAACAATAAAAAAAAAAAGGAAATTATATTTACAGAGCATAATTTTATCAGTGTTAACACAAATTGTAGCACTGTATTAACTGCATTCGTCAACCCTGATACAGTAGTAAGTTATTAAAAAAACAAAAAAATTCTTCTTTGATCTATTTGGGAAACAAGTTTATTGCTTTAGGCAAATTTAGGCAAAAACTGTGATCCTGTTTTCCATTCTGGTGTATTATTTTATATCTTTACACATAAAAATGCAAAACTGGGTTTTAACTCGCAAGGTTGTTGATTACAAGTGCGAATCGTCAGATCTTGATTTCAGACTTTCTCAGGCCTTAGAGCAGAGTCCTGTCTCTGATCAGGTAAGACGATTAGCTAACAAGATTAAACTTACTGACATGCAGTAATACACTGACCACGACAACCACCATGTAAATAAATTACTACATGGACCACGTATATATAAAAACCAAATAACAAGAAAAAGTCAAGTTACTGTGTCAAAAAAACGTTTTATTAAATTATTCCAGGTAACAGCAACAGACAGCGACAGATCAGTTGGTCTTATCGGGGTGCTAGCGTGGGGCTGGTTCTTCCTTCACTAATCACATTCACTTTATCGCGTGTTCACCTGCAGAAGAGACGAATCATTAATGCTTGTGCATTTACAGTCAACATCAGTACTAATTTTAGGGTCCTTTAAATACTCAAATACTCATTAGACTTTGCAAATCACTCACGAGATCATCAATCTTGAGGACGCTGCGGACCGTTTCCGTGGCGAGGGTGAGTGCGCTGATGGAAACCAGCAAAGGCTGAACTACCAGCTCCTCCAGGATATTAGAGATCCCACCCTGAGAGACCAAAAGACGCGTTAAATGCTCATTTTTGGAGGGGTTTGTCAGTATGCAGCACTATTGAGAACTAATGGTTGAAAGTCACACCTTGCGGACGTTAATCCCGGCCGTTTTCTCTCCCTGTGCATGTCTGTTGCGCAGCTCCGTGACTGTAGAGATGGGATTAAGACCAGCGTTCTCTGCCAGAGTTGAGGGAATGATCTCCAGGGCATCGGCGTACGCACGCACACAGTACGCCTCCATGCCGGCCAGACTGCGGGCATATTCTGCCAACCTCAGCGCCAGCTCAATCTCTGGTGCTCCGCCGCCAGCGATCAGAGCCCTGCAGACGCACAGGAAGAGGACGAGTTAGCAAACAGCTTCTTCTGACTCCAAGACCTGAAAGGCTTCACCCAAAAACAAACGCTGAAAATGCCTATCCAAGCTGTAGATGAGTTTGTTTTTTCATCAGAACAGATTTGGAGAAATGTAGCATTACATCTCTTGCTCACCAATGGATGCTCTGCAGTGAATGGGTGCCGTCAAAATGAGAGTCCAAACAGCTGATAAAAACATCACAATAATCCACAAGCAATCCACACCACTCCAGTCCATTCGTTAATGACTTGAATTGAAAAGCTGCGTGTTTAAGAAACAAAACTATAATTGAGGAGTTTTAAATTCAAACCATTTCTTCTGGCCAAAATACCAGTTCATAATTACTAATGTAGCTTCCTCCAGTGAAAAAGTCAATCACTGTTGTCCTCTCACATCAAAATAAACCCACATATTTGTTTAGAACGGTGCTTGACCTGTGCATATTTCTCTCCTGATTCAGACCACTGGAGAAAGCATTATGGATAGAGGACTTCTATTTTAGCTGGAAACATCAGTTTAAAGTGGATTTGTTTCTTGCAAACACACAGATTTTTGCTTCACAAGACATGAATTGATGGACTGGAGTGGTGTGGGTTACTTGTGTATTATTGTGGTGTTTTCTGACGGCACCCACTCACTGCAGAGGATCCATTGGTGAGCAAGTGATGGAATGCTACATTTCTGCAAATATGTTCACATAACACTCATCTATATATTGGATGCCCTGAGGTGCAGTGGTGGAAAGAGTACTGAAAAAATATACTCAAGTAAAAGTACCATTACCTTCCAAAAAATGTAGTGTGAGTAGAGTAAAAGTACTTGTCCAAAAAACTACTTGAGTAAGAGTAAAAGAGTAGCCTATTTAAAAGTACTCATGAGTATTGAGTAGCGAGTACTGAGCTGTGGATTCTACCCCCTCATAATAAACGCTGTACACCGCAATTTATCCATTTTAAAAACGTTGTACATTCTGTAATTCACATTATCTTGTTTGTCATAAAGAATGAAGAGTATCTATCATCCAGCAGTTTTAATTTTGACTGCAAACTCTTTCAAATACATCAAAACAGCACGGAAATGGTATTCAGTTGAAGAAAAGATGAAAGTTATTCTCAATACAATCATCCCCATTTAAATCATAAAGTTTGAAAAAATAGATTTAAAATCATGTGTAAGGCCACTGAGACAGCACGCTGCTGTTGCACATAAAATATTAATGTTTAGAACAGGGCAAATACAAACACCATTAGAAACTCATAGGTCAGCATCACACACCATGATATGGGTTAAAATGAGAGCCCATTTCTCTCCAAAACGGTGCCAGTTTACGCAACCACGTCTCTTTGCTGAGCCGCGCGTTTATGCGCGAGTGCACTTGCTAAATGAAGGCGGATAGTATAAAATGGATTTTAAAAAAAAAGTTTTCACAGCGTGCATCACGCACTCAAACTCATCAAAAGTCAACAAGTAGCAACGACTTATCCAAGTGACCGCTGCAGAACGCACGCGAGAGAGACGAGGCAGCGCAGATCGCGCGTCTCATAAGTGAGTGGGAATTTACAGAACGTGGCACTTGCGGGAGTTAACACTGTATGCAATACCCGCAACCTCACACCAAATTTCAGGCCGTGTAGATAGGCAAGCATATATACAAATCATTTAGTAAGCAGAAATCCAAAATTTACCTTAACATAAATTAAAATAAGCATGTAACGACCACAAACGGAGGAAAATAGCGGAGTAAAAGTACCGATACATCACTTAAAATGTACTCAAGTAAAAGTACACAATTTTTAAACTACTCAAAAAAGTACAATTACTGATAAAAAAAAACTACTTAATTACTGTAACGTGAGTATTTGTAATTCGTTACTTCACAGCCCTGCCTGAGGGTGAGTAAACTTTCAGGAAAATTTTATTTTTGGGTGAATTATTTTTTTAATGGAGCAGTTACCAAATCATGCCAAAGCTGGAAATAGTCAAATATCAGCCAATTTATTCAGCTTATGATTAATAATTATTATTTTCGGTTGAGAAATCCATAAAATCACTGGAGTCTCTTGAGAACTTTGTTACCTCTTCTTGACCATACAGCGGATGACGCAGAGGGCGTCGTGGATGGATCGCTCTGCCTCCTCAATCACCAGTTTGTTGGAACCACGGACGACAATACTGACCATCTTTCCTGGATTTACACATCCTGTGATCTACAAACACCAATCAAACACTGCTGTCATTATCCAGCACAGACAGAATAAAACCACATGCATCTCTGCATCTGGAGTATCTGTTTATAAATAAATGCTTAAGCAAATAATGTCCTGTATGCATGAGAAAAACAAAACATGTTCAGCTGAATATGCATGCAGGTTATAAAATGTAGGTTACCTTCACTAGTTTGCCAGATCCGTCCAGGTTAACCTCTTCTGCTAGCTCTGCAGTTCCCAGCATCTCTGGAGTGAACTGGTCAATATGAGCTATAGGTTTGGTGCCAAGAGTCTGATGGGACAGAAGACAAAAACTTGTATTAAAGAATGTGTAAAAAAACATTTAATAGTTTCATGACAGTGCTGGATCTGCTGGGCATACCTTGCAGATGAATTCAATGTCCTCCCTCTCAATGTCTTTAATCACCATGATCTTCATCTTATTCAGGAAGTGAAGGGCCAGATCACTCAGCGCATCTCTGAAAGAGCAATCACAAACACCATGAGAACCTTTGACAGTCAATATGTTATATGACAATAGTTATACAGTTTAACTAGCTTTTATTTAACATTTTTAAATTAGTGACTGTGTGATGGCGCTTTGTGGTGATTTTGTACCTCAGGATGGATTTCTGGATGAGCAGCACAGTGCAGCCGGCTTTCTTAATCTGTTTGACCAGATTAAGGATGTAAGCTCTCTCCTCACGGAGCACACGGTCCATCTGAGCGTAGTCCGACACCACAATCTGATTGTCCATCTGTCCCGAAAGAAGCATCACACAACGACTTGAATCTTGAACACCAATGGCTGCTTTTATATATCAGTTTGAAGCATGATCACATACATCAGTTTTAGGAGGGGACAGGCAGAACTGGATGAGGCCGATTTTGGCCTTCTCCACACGGGACACTCCAGTGTTCACCACCCTCTGAGTCAACACCAGACCATCCACCAGCTCACAGTCATCAATGGTCCCTCTGCAAACACAAACACAGCAATGCATTTGCTTTGCAAAGAGAAACTACTCATTTCTGCGGCCTAATAACTGACTGAGCAATATTTAAATACTATCCTGCATCTCACCCGAGTTTCTTGACGATGTGGATATCGTGGAGATCTACGCTGGTGGCGGTGGCGGGGTCGATGACCTTCATGACTGCGTCGACGCTCATGGGTGCGAGCAGGCTGGAGTATTGGGACACCACCTTAGAGCAGAGCGAGGTGGTGGCACTGTTCAGAAGAGTCTCTCTGTCGCTGAGCTGCACCGGCTGACTGATGGACGTCAGGATCTCCACACCTTTATCTACGGCTTTCTGGAAGGACTCGGAAATGATGGTCGGGTGGAGTCCTGGCAGGAAAAACAGAGCGGAAAGATCATGCTGAATTTGTTGTCATAAATAAACACCACTATGACATGAAGAATTATAAAAAAAAAAAAGGTGTCCCAACCCTAAATGTTTGATTTGATTTTTATTTTTTTTTAAGTTTAAGTTTATTGCCACATCAGCTTCACAGGCTATTTCATGGCAAACAAAGATTATACATGAGAAAAACAATACAGTAGTACACAATACAAAATACAAAAATTAAATAAAGCAATTATAAAATAAAGTTTTGTACATAAAATTCTATAAAAGATTTTTTAAATTTACTTTTGAAAGAAGTAGTCTTATAAAACAAGTTCCTAAGAGTTTCCCTAAATGGTTGAAAATGGCTGTGAAAGATCTGTTCACTGTGTCAAAGGATTCAACTGCAGAATATGCTTTCAATCATTACAATTTAAAGGGATAGTTCACCCATAATTCTGTCATGATTTACTCTCCCTCAAGTTGTTTCAAACCTGTATAAGTTTCTTTCTTCTGCTTAACACAAAAAAGAATAATTTCAAGAATGTTGGGGACCAAACAGTTGACGGTAGCCATTGACTTCTATAGTACGGAGTAAAAAAAACACTATGGAAGTCAATGGCTACCGTCAACTGTTCGATTACCAACATTCTCCAAATGGTCTACTTTTGTGTTCACCAGAAGAAAGAAAATCTTAAATGTTTGAAACAAGTGGAAGGTGAGTAATTGATGACAGAATTTTCATTTTTGGGTCATAACTAACATGATGCATGTTGTATAAAGATTTAATGCAACTAAAGCTTACCTTTCTGTAGCAGTTTAGCGCAGGCATCAAGAAGAGCTATATATACACACACACACATACACTTAATCTATTTAAATATGAAATATATTATATATAAATGTTTTTAAACATGAAACATTTCACATATATAATAATTTATAAAGTAATTTAATTTCTGATCTTAAGACACTCAAATAAAAAAAATACAGAAATTAATATTAACTATTGAGGACATGTTAAACATGTAATGCCTTAAAAAAAAGGATGTACATTTGTTTGAGAATCACACTTTCTAGAAACAATAAAGACTTTCTATGGTTAAGAATGAAACTTGTGTGATGGTCTTTAATTATTTTTACTAAAATATTTTTTAATACCTTGCTTTTTTGTGTTCATGACTGTGTATGTCATTTGTTGTCATTAAGAAGACCGCGCCTTATAAGGACGCGAGTGAGTGTGCATTGGGATTATGAGGAACATAACTTCATAATCATATTCCTCATCTAACGCTTTTAAACACTGCCATATTTGCAGAAATGAAACAAATGTATGCAGACACCGTCATGTTTATAACGGTACAGGACTTCTATTATTGACTCATGCTTCCACTAATGTCATGGGCTGCAGCAGTACACTAAAACAAACCCCTGTGAATGTTTCTCACAGCTTTAATCTGAGTATCAGACACTTTCTCTCACCTTTCCCGGCGCTGATGTTGCTGAAGCGGATCTGGGCGGGTTTGTCCCGGTCCACATACGCGCCTCCTTTGTTTTTAGACACGTTTGCAGCCGCTACGGCTTCAGGCATGATGGCTAATATTTATGTTGTTTCGTTCCTCAGAAATCACAGGCGGAGATGGACGCTATCCGGTCTCTCTAGGCGGTTTGTGCGGTTCGGATGGGTTCAGATAACGCTCGGTTCGGATATCCCAAGCACAACCTTCCAGATCCACCGGCCGCGACGGGAACAGAGAAAGGACCCCAGTGAGGATGACGTTTAGGGGTGTCTTAATACATTCCCAGCGTAAATGCAGTTTCAGTGTAAGGAAATATTTTATAGTGGGTCAAGAACGCCCCTTTATGTCAAGAGTATGTTGTGTTAGATTATTTATAATATATAACTCAGGCAGGTTCTGTGCTTTAGTATAAAATTAGTTAAATATAAAGTTTGTTGTAGAGTGAGACAGTGAGCTGTGTTCATAAACACATGTGACAGGCGCATGGAAGCAGCCGCCTCTCTGTCTCTGACTGAAGAACTGAAGCGATCCAGTGAAGGTAAGCTGGACGATGAGCATGTTTACAAGAGCGCTCGTTCAATAACACATCTGCCATTTGTGTTTCTCATTTTTGATGATGTGTTATTATAGACATTGTTTCATAGAAATCCAAAATATGTTGTCCTTCTCTTATATCATGATGATGCTATTTTGATCCGTCTCCATCTCTGTATTAGCGAATCTGCACAATATAATTAAAGCATCATAGATGTGAATTCACGGAAATACTAGACAATAGTTTGCTTTAATGAAAATAAAAATTATAATAAAGAACATAAATGGCATGTAGTTGAGCAAAGTGTTAGACAGACGGTCACTCATTACAAATAAAAAAACTACTTATGCCCATTTAGAGTTCTTGAGATTTAAACGATATGCATTGTTTTCCTACATTTTTGGATTGCATTTAGAGTGTTTTTCAAAATTAATGATGATAATAATAATAATAATAATAAAACACATTCTGTTTTATTTTCCTAATGTATATTAAATGTTATGGCATTTTATAGCATTTAATAGTATACTAAAGTTATGCAATTAATGTTTACCTACTCAGTTTTTTTTTAAAATGTGATTCTCATTAAAATGTTGTTTGTAATTAACATCAGAATCATTTTAATAATATATATGTAAATGCATGGAAATACAAAATAACTTTTTATGGATTGCAAAAGTATTAGATTTTAGTTGCTATAATGCATTATTTAAAAAAAAAAAAGTCTTCAGTTTAGCATCCTATATGAACTATTCATAGAATAAATCAATACATCAATAAATATTGTGACATTTATTTAGGACAAATTGCATTAAAAAAAAAGTTGATTGTATTTATAACAGAATAATCTCAGTATAAATATACACATACATAAACGTAACTAACAAACTAACATATCTTTATTAAAAATAAAAATAAATAAATAAAGTCTTTATTTTTTAGATTTTAATTGGCATAATGTATTATTAAAAAGTATGAGATTGTGTCTTCGGTTTTGCATCCTATGAACTAATCCAAAATTTGTGTCATCATATCTTTAAATGTGGTGACATTTATTTAGGACAAAATTGCATAACGTTTAATGCTATATTTTGCCTTCGTTCTCTTTTTTTCTCGGCAGTATGCTGTCCCTCAAAGAGAAGGACCGGCCCATCGTCAGAAAGCTGTTGTGCGCCGGCTGCTGTGCGAGATGCGTTCTGCGCTTCTGCTGTGTGGGAACCAGCTCCGCTTACAGACGATCCTACCAGGTCTCTCACGACCAGCCGTCTCCTGAAAATCACCAGGTTTTGTTTGATATAGCTGCATCGTTGTGTGTGTATATGTCAGTAATGAACATTCCCGTTTGTAGGACTTACGCAAGGAGCTTCTGGCCTTCATCAGTGAGGAAAACAGCCCTCAGTCCCATGATGCCTCTGGTGAGGAGAAAACCGTCGCCCCGCCGAATAAACGCGTGAGAATAGATGAGGATCCTGTCACACCAGCGCAGACGGACTCAGACATTTGTCCCGTCTGCTTAGGAGTCCTGCAGGACTTCTGTGATCCCACCTTCGCCAAACAGGTATGTTTTCTTTTTTTTTCTTTTTATTAGGCTGATCTGCATTCTGCTGCTGTGTGAACATCGTTTACGAATTATTTTTTTACCCGCAGGTGTCAGATGCGGTGAAAAAACAACAGTACGAGTTTGACAGTCTGGTGCTGACCGTTTCTCTTCCCGCTCAGATGTCCGTCAGAGAGGTGAGTCCTGCCGCCAGTTTGCTGAATGATATCCAATACTTGTTTTTTACTCATTTTGAGGTGTTGGTTCCAAAAATAGTGCCTGTTTTGCTGAAGCACATCACACTTCTACACAAAATATAATGGATTTTATTCGGACGGACGGACAGAAGATTTGGTTTTCAAGCTAAAGTAAAGTAAAAGACCGCTTAAACCAGAGAAGGTGAACAGGTTGGTATTCTTGTGGGAAAAGACATGCAAGCACTGTCACCAACAGCCAGTTTGGTTTTACTTTTCTTTTTGTTTTCATTTTGAAAAGCTTGCTATCTTTGCTGTTTACCTCACGTTATGCTATTGAACCTTTCTTCAAATTTTTTTTTACAGTTATTTGATTCCTGAGTGTTTGCTAAACGTTCTGTAATTTATTAGTCGGTATATAATACAGCATGTGGTGTATGCCATGCCTCATCTTATTCGTTTTTGTTAAACGTTTTGTAAGCTAGTTTGTCATTGTAGCCTACTTGTTGCTGTGCTTTTTAATTAAGAATAACAATAAATCAATTTTTTGTTTTAGTCTTAAAAAGTGAAAGGTGTATAGATGTAAGCAAAATAGACAATTATCTTTTATTGTAAAACGTGACAACAAGATCGCAAATTCGAAAGTGAAAGTGCACGAAGCCCGGCTTATAACATAGCAAAAGAGGAACTCCCGTTCACAAAATTCAAATCATAATAGGCCTACTACTGATGAAAAAGAGCAGGTTGAATGTTAACCACTTTTGTTACCATATATCTATAAACTATGATAAAAGTTCATCAGCATGCATCCCATGCTGTAGCAAAAAAATAAAATTTGCAACCAAATTATGTGCTCCTGCGACCAACTGAACAAAGTTAGTCGTAAAAGAGCGACCAATGGAAAGAATGAGTCTAGAGCCCTGAATATGTATAAATATGTAATTAATATCACTTGTATTGTATATATGTATATGTGTGTGTGTGTGTGTATATATATATATATATATGTAATGTAATGTAGAAATAATGTATTTAATTTTAATTAAATTTTAAATGTATGTATGTGCATATATGTGTGTGTGAGAGATAAATACATTCATATATATGTATATGTAAAATAAATTAATTCATGTATACATTTTAGAATTGACAAAAATATTTTTCATTTTGTGAAAAATTTTAAATGTGATAGAATTATTGATATTTTTGTACTCAGAATCATCAAATAAGGTAATATTAGGCTTTTTTTCAAGATGCATGGCTCTGTTATTATTTTATGATTGAAAAGGTGTTTCTCTGTACATATCCACAGCATTCCTGCTGGTTGCATGTCAAAAAAGAAGTCAGGTACGTAAGCGGCACACATTTCCCATCATCCCTTGCAGTGGCAGCATCCGTATGAAGTCCCATAATGCCGTGTTTCCAGGGAGAAGAGCATGTGTTTGGGTAAAGAGGATGTCATCCAGGTGAAAGACGCATTCAAGTGGGCCGTACAGGGAAAGATCGGACAGGAACTGGGAGCTGCTGTCGTGGCAAATGTGAGTGCTTCTTCTTGACTGACTTTCTGAATAATTCTCTGTTATTTAATCTCTTGGTTCTGTGATCCACAGAGTCCGTGTGAAGTGAGCGTCGGCTTTATACATCCGGAAACAGAGGAGGACTGTCATTTCTTGTACGTGGGTCAATGACAGGAAGTGTTTGTGTAATCCTTCTTCTTATGTTACACTGTAACTTTTGTGGCAGGTTTGAATGGTTGAGCAGACGATACTAAAACTTTTGCTAAAAAATTGAAAATGGAATTAATTTTGGTGAAATTTTGAAAATGGAACGTTTAAGTCGATTTGAATTCAAATGTCTGCTAAATGCGTAAATGTAAATTTACTTGCCTTGCCATTATGTAGAATGAGTCCAAATGATGTAATTTCCTGGTTAACACGGATGTGTCTTTCTTTCTTTGAACAGAGCAAATACCTGTCCAGGCTGTTTCAAACCCACCAAAAACAAAGCGGTATGCTTTCCCATGTCGTGTTTCCAGTCTTTAAAATCAAAAGTGATTGTTTTGAATATGAAAGCAGTGTAGCTGTGTTCCTCTTTGTCTCTCAGTCCATCTTCACCAGGATGGCGGTGGTTAAAGCTCTGGAGAAGATCTCTGAAGAGAAGTTTAGCAGGTGAGTGTTTTCAGTTTCCTGCTCACATGAGACATGAGTTTTTGGCCGTTCACTTTCAATGTGATTTATTGTGTGCAGGCATTACCCATGTCCACCAAAGAAAGCAAACACTAGATGTACAGCACTGGACACCACATGTCTCCACACATCCATTTTCATAGCAGGTATGGCCAAAAAAGTTACTATATATATATTGTCAATGTTGGGAAGGTTACTTTGGAAATGTAATAGGTTACAGATTACAAGTTACCCTAATCTAAAATGTAATAAGTAGTGTAGCTATTTCAGTTACTTTATTAATGTAACTGATTACATTTGATTACTTTTTGATTACTTTTCTAAATTCTAATGAATGTTTTTAACTGTTAATCATTTTGAAACATTTGAAGCAGGCAGGTTTTACCTTATGTAGTATTCAACACTGATTACTGTCAGACTTTCGCAATCCATCACTTGAGTTAAGATTTTAATCATTTAATTTTAAAGCACAGCCACCACAAAATCGGACTTTAGCACCTCTTTTACTTTGAGATCATTCTGAGGTTAAATACAGATTTAAAAACATAAGATATAGTTTAATAGCTATGATACTGTTTTTGAAATCAAATCTTTGCGTAGCTACGACAGGAAACACTGC